AATGAAACGTGCTCATTTGCCGACGTTGCACTCTAAGAAAAGATGGAGCGTGACTTTCTCCCTCAAGGGAGCAAATACGCTGCCGCAACCATTGCTCCCCGAGGGGAGCAACGGTAACGGGAGAAACGTTTAATCCCCTACCGTTAGTCCTTCATGGTTGAACCCCCGACTAACTTTTGCACCGTTGCATTTAGGCCGCTGGGACTAAATGTTGCGCCCTTACCTTATTTATTAGTAAGCTGCGCCAGTGCGGCGACTCCGGCAGCAACAATACTCCAATTTCTTTCCTTTTTTTTTTTGGGGGGGGGGGGGGGGGGGGGGGGGCGCGTTTGTTTTGCAGACGCTCGTTGCAAAGAGCAAGCGCCGCATAAATACATACATACATTCAAAATTGGTAGAAATGTTATCGCTGGGGTAGATAATTTCCATTCTCATTACATTCACATATGAACAACGCTTATTTCACATTTGCACTCGTATTTTAAATTTTAACATAGACAATTAATTAGAACACAGATAAACACGTACAACACACAAGCGCCGACACACACGCGGCGACACGCTAATTCAATCATTTTTTTTTTTTTTTTTACAGCGGAGCTACTAAAGGGGCTTTGCAATCATATTTAAGCGTCTACCTTTTTTTGTGGTTTCCACGTCTCTTGGGGTTCGGGCAAGCCATCGGGCACGGAGAGAATAACTTAATAGTGCATCATATTTTAACCGGACGATGCGGAAACCTCCTCCACCGACGAAGGCGACCCGCGGTACCGAAAGCGCGCAAAATGTGACGTATTTGGTCCTGGGCTTACTACTGGTCAAAGCCGCTTAAAGCTTCTTTTTAGTCGAAGCACAAAAATATAAGTGGCGCGAACCGTTTAAATTATTTATAAAAGTAGCTTTTGTTCAGTATTTTAGATCAAATAAGAAACAAATGCAGTTTATAAAGGACGGAAACAAGAAATGCCCCGTCGACATACCCGCCACCAAGCGGCGGAAAAGGCGGCGCATAGTAGAGAGGAGTAGTGGGATCAGGAGCCGACGCGGAAAGGTCCGGGATGTACGCGGTGGTGCTGCGGTTGTATGGACAGGAGGATCCGACCGGCTCCGAGCGTTCCGAAAGCCTTCGGCGCGAGAAGCTTTGTCTTGCGGTTTGGCCGTTTTGCGGTATGGCAGCGCTAAGTGGCTCCCATTGTGAACTGATCTTTACCCCGTGTTTGCTGACGTTTGTGGCCAATGAAGCGTCATGCCGCATTAGTGTTTAATCGCGCAGCAAATTCAATGAGAGCCGCTCTGGCTACCCACTGCATACAGCCTATCCTGAACACTCTTTAGTGGCGCCCTCTTGCGCCGTCGACACGGAGTGCGGCAGCCGTGAGTGCTCGCTGAGCTCACTACTCTTCCTCTAGTTCAAGGCCACTCCAGCAACCAAGGACGTCATGAGGGAGGTTATTTTTTGCTTGTTTTGTAATTTTAATTTCCTTATAACTTTTAAAGTAATGTGAATTTCGAGAAAAGAAAAGTATCATTTTGTTAGTACGTTCAGTGCGCTCAGGTTCGGTGCAAATTAAAACCAGTAAAAAAGTCCTTACAGGGCTCCTTTAAAGCGGTACGGAAACCAAATTCTGGAGCTCATTTCTTTGTTTCAACACGACGCAGGTAGCAGCACAACCACAGAAACATAAATATTGCCCTAGAAAACGCAAGAAAACATATTTTAAAGTGAATTAAACGATAATCAGAAACCACCTGGTAGTTGGTTATGAGGCTTCAATGGAATGTCGTGACGACAACATTCCTCTGAAAGCAGCGCCGCAGCGGTATGTCCGCTCACTGGTATAGATTGCCTAGGCCTGAACGCAATACCGAGGCGCCTTGGTGGAAAGAGCCAAAACGAAGTGAGCCACCTTGGTTTCAGCTCTCGCGCGACGCGCAAACGCGTGCTTCGGTTGTTCTCAGGTTTGGTGCGCGTGCTGGCCCCGCGATCTCTACAGCCCTTGGGTACTTCGACAAAGCGAGATTGTAACGCGTTGACGCCTCCAAGTGGCAAAACTCGTCACTACGGTACGCTTGGTCGTCCGAGGCATGATGACGTCAAGACGTCTGCCGGATCTCCCGAGATGCATCGCGCTCCTCCATGGCTGATTTTGAAGCGCTCGCCAAAATCGCGGCATTTAGAGCATAAAATATAGCCATCTGCTCAAAATACGACCGTGCGATTATTCATTACAGGCTTAGCTGATCATATTGAACTCATTTCTTGATGTTTTCTCTATATTTCAGGTTTCGATTCCGTATCCCTTTAAGGGCTAGGTTCCCCAGGATCGTGTCAAGTATGTCGACACAAACCTACCTGGGCAGCCACCGCCATCTATAAGCGACGGCGGCAAGCACACAACTAGTATGTTTTCTGCCGTCGCTTGTAGATGGCGCCAACCTTTCCAGCTATAATAGAAGAATGGGAATTCATCGTAGGAAACAAGGAGGTTGGAAGCACTAGGAGGGGGCACGTTGCAATATAGGTGAAGCCTGGTCATTAAACGTATAAACGATATTGTGCCCAGCGTGACTGCAGATCTCTCTGGCGATTGGTGCGCGTGACATGTCACGTGCGAGATGGATGATTGATTGTAGGAGGATTCCTTGCAGGCTTGCGCGCGCTCCGTCCGGTAGGTTTTATCAGATCGAAGGCTAGACGAAGGCTAGCTACGGTCACGTGATGTGGTCATGTTGGGCTGATAAGTGAGGAGAGTAAGGAGGAAAATGAGAAAGAGGCGAGGCGTCAAAGGAGCATGGCTTGTAGAGGCTACCCGGCTGACGTCATGCCCTCTCCTCCCCTTCTATTCTCCATCGTAGGAGACAGCGCGAAAAACAGACGACGACGAAGAAGAAGCACACAGTGTATCGAGTACTGCTCCGCTGGTCTTCCTTCATCACGAGAGTGGAGAAGTTGAACGTTCTTTATTGCCGGAAATGAACATTGTGAAGATAACCTATCACAAAATTCCAAAGGTCACGCTTATCGACCGACGTCTAACGCGGCATGGCTAAAATGGTTTCAAGTAAGTCACATCGTCGAGTACTGATAAAAAATCAGGCACGGAAGGTCACACTTCTAAAACATATTTCATAGATTGACCGAAGTAGTCTCTGACCACTCTGGCATCAGTATCTGTATTGCGGACGGCCATGCGGGATTTCCATATACTGTGAAGGCATACAAGCATCACAAGATCGTATGGAACCTTGTTCTCTTTCTGTACAACTAAAAACCTAATACCATACGAATTTAACGGAAGCATTTTCTTCAAAGTGCGTTGCAGGGCGTCTCAAAAGAAAATCCCATCAAAACAGTCTAAAAAGGCGTGTTCTACTGTGTCCGGCTTTTGGCACAGAAAACAGGTTACACTCCACGGTACAAACAGACCCTTGTCTTTTAACCAAGTCTTTACCGGCAAGACTCCAGAATGCAATTTAAAAAAAAAAAGGTGTTAACCGCTGGCGAACAGGCATTTTCTTAACTCACTTGAGAACATTCTGACCAGGACCCATACGATACAAAGATCTATACAGCGGTCCAGGCAGGGTAACGTCAACAAGATCTCTGTACAATCGCTTTCGAGATACCCCGCTCAAGTATTCTAGAGAGAAACGCGTGCACAAAAACTGCATAGCTTGTACCACCTCACGCATATAGCCATTAATGCCTCCACCACAAGCCCACGTAGACGAGACAACAAAACCCGGGAGCACCTTGCGCAAGCGCACTTGACAAAAGGTACGCAGAAAAGAATCGTTCGCATGTCGTAGGAAAAGAAAACGGTTGACAACCTGTCGCAGGAAGAGATCTGCTAACGAAAGCCCTCCAAGGCAGACGCGCCGAAACAGGTTCGCTCGACTCGTCTGATCCCAAGTGGATCCCCATATCAGCACAGCAAACACCCGATGCAATCTCTGTACACGCTAATTAAATCGCCACCCCAAAGAGATACTCATACTGATCATATGAAAGGAGTCGTTTGGTCAGTGGCCATCTTAACTGTGAACGATTTTACAAATATGGTGCTGCTTTCGCACCAATATTGTTTTCCAATAGTGTTTCTAAACTTTCCAAGGAGTGTATCTTTTACTAAGAACTAACAGTACACACAGTAATTATTTGTGACAGTCTATAAAACAGCGTCCCCATAGGTTCCCAGCAGCCATGTTCTCGCTTCCCCGCATAGACTGCCCCACTTTGCGCATGCGCGTCTCCGTGACAACCGCATCGTCTCTTGCGAAAAGAAATAAAAAAAAAATAAAAATAAACAAGTTGTGAATAATACAGAAAAAAAAGACAGACTGAACTTTTTTTGTTTTTGTTTTTGAAGACGTTTTTATTACATGCCACGTGGCTATTTTCATCCGAGTTAAACTAAAACAGAAAATATAAGCACTTTCAAAGTACGTTCCAAAGAATGCAAAGGGGAAGGACGCGACGCCAGGACAACGGTCAAAAGCTGCATGGCCAGTGCATCAACAATGGGAGCGCTCAAGTTAGCGCTGGCTTCACGAAGGGCTGGAACAGAGGCTGCCATCGTTATAAAGTGAGCTCTGACCCGTAAACGTGGCCCCTCCTGCAATTTTTGATGCTACGATCGTCTGTGGATACCTCCCCCTGCGTTCCGAAACAGTAAGTACGTCGCTAACGCTGGCGATCGGCGATGCAGCAGACGCCGCCATCTTGTCCGCGCGTCTTTTGCTCCCGCGCTCTTTCTCCCGCGCGCCTCTCACTGCTCTTGCATCCGCGCTTTTGCACCCGCGGCTGCTTTTTCTCCCACGCCCCTCTTGGTCAGTCCCGGTAAAGTGCAGTTAGTCCTCATCATTTGCGCGCGGTACCTAGCTCGAACCGGAATGTCTCTTCGGGGAGCAAAGGGCAGTTAAGAGGACCAAATGCTGCCGTTAGTCCTTTGAGACCATCCTTTTCCTCAGAGTGTGCTTATATTGAAGGTGATGCTTACCACGGAGAAAAGCCAGGGAACTGATGTAGGGCTCCACCTCAAGGGCTACCTGCGGCCTGTCTATGAATGTGTGCCCCTTTTTGACAAAGATCTGTCGCACCAGGTCCAGATCCGTGACGACCATGCAGGGTTTCTCGGCCATGAAGAACCCGAATACCTTGCCGTACCGGTCGATCCATTGTTGCATCACCTGCGTTAAAGCGAAGCGCTCAGTCTCTTCGTAAAAAAACAACAACAACAACAAAACAACCTCTTCCTGTATATTCTAGGACTAATTGGACACCGCCGTAACGTTATCATAATCACCGGCGGCTCAAGAGACGCAGGGCGTGGCCCAATATGACGCTTCTTGCCATCGTGATTGGCTGCTGAGCGATAATGAGATGCTCGAGACTCGCCACGCCCCGCGTTTCTTCAGCTCTCAGTGACCATAGTCGGCGGGCGAAGCGATATCTAACGCAAGTAACGAGGTATTATAGAGCTTTAATATATCGTTCCGATGCATCCGATAACGATACTCGACACTCCGTCACCGCCTTTGCGCATGCATCGCATCGTTATCGGCTATCGTTATCGGGGATATCGGAGGTATCGAAATGATCTACTTAAACTCTGTACTACCACTTAAATCATAGACCTTTTCGGCCTCCGTCGCATGGGAGATGACATCTTGGAATCACGTGACGCGGCCGCCGCGAGGTGGTCGCTCCAGTGTCCCCTCCGCGTCTTGGCGAAGGCGTTGCATTTGCGTTCTTCGTCGTGTTTCACCGCGTTTCTCGCCTTATTGCAAATCGCCGCCCGATTTTTGCACGTACAACTTAATTGCAGGCCATCATTATGTGCGCGACGACATATGCAGTCAATTTTTTGACAGAGCTTGACTAATTTCACCATCTGCGTACGGGATACCTGTCAGGATGGAGGAGGTACAGGAATCAGCATCAGATTTGGCTCATATTGAGCCCAATCATTTATGACAACTGATGTTTGCAGTGATGGCAGCGGAACATTTGAAATAAGTATAGCGCAATGTATATGTATAATCGCGCATTTAGAATCTTAAGGAATGGGACCAAAATACTACTTAGCAAATGAAGCTATGTTTGTTTGCTTCATTACAAATTTGAAATAGTTGTTTTTCATTATATAGGTTTATAGGATATACAAAATATACAGGTGACGCACGTTTAACTCACATTTTATCTGATGCTTGGCACGTTTAACTCACATCGGGCGATTTGTTGGCTCGTGACATTACACCTAAATATGTTAGACGGTCTTAATCATTTTTGCAATAGAAAGGTTTGCTTGATTTATTCATGAACTTAGAGAAACTGTACACTATGGTCGGTGACATAACAACAGTCATTAAAGGGTGTTAACGTTTTTTTATAACAAAATTTGTTTAAATCATTTGATTTCTTTTAATCACAAAGACCCCTGTGAAATAATTTGTCACAGGAAGCTTGAGAGTGCTTAGGGCTCGCATTATATGATGACGAAAAGAAGCCATCTATATTGAAATCACCCAAGTTTAGCGTTGTGGATTTTAAATCGCATCATTTTCGCATGGAGGTCTGCCATTAAAGTTCATGAAGTCGTGCGTAGCATTCGACTTCAACCAAACCTGCGAGAGATCACTTCCCTCGTACCTTTAAGTTTCCTTGGCAAAGTTTATACAAAGACTAAATTTCAGATTTCAATTGATTGATTTCACTTATCTCATGTGCCAAGCACGTCGCAATAAAATATCAGCAAAACAAATACTGCATTTTATAACACCAACGTTGTGAAATGCTGTTAACAAGTACTTTAACATGGTCCATATATAGGTAAAGGAATTTCCCACCCAACCTAGGACGGACTACCGAAATACCACTTATTTGTTAGAATATCTGAGTACTATAGGAGACATTTCGAGTTCCGAGTTCCTAAAGTTCACAGAAAGTTGGTGTCCGCGAAAATTAGTCAGTGAACATGCGACTTCGGGTGTTTTTCTCGATTTAGGAGGTTTTTAATCAGGTTGTGCACCTGCATTTTTACTATGTATCTAATCATTAGTCTCTTAATTAGTTTATTTTTCTGGAAACTGTGGTGAGTGCGTACTGTCGCAGACGATGGGAACGCTCCTTGCGCATCCTGGTTGTTTCGCCGCCGAGCCTGACCGAAATTAACGACGAACATGACCAGATGCAGCGTAAAGCGTTCGTAAAAAAAGTCCGCGAGTATTATTTGAAACAACTTCGTGGTTCTCGAATTGGCTTAGTACCACAGTTCTTTTAGTTGTGCGCTGAAACGGGCACATTTGTATGACGAAATCAGGCGACAATGACATAACACACCAACACAGCCGAGAGCGCACTGACACCGAAACCAGCCAAATTGAAGCCACCCAATGGCGCCGAGTGCGTCAGCGCCATCTGTCCGTTGGTCGGGTAACTACTAAGATGAAAAGGTCTATACATTTGGGTGTCGGAGGAGCCCAGTTCTCGCTAAACGGTTGTCCTAAAGGCATGAAAGGATGATCACAGTCCGGGACTCGTGCACGCTGTTCGCTCTTTGTTGGGGATGACGAAAATAATCCCTGGAGAAGGGGAAAAAGGGGGACAAAGGACAAACACAAATCTCCGAACACAGCTGGGTTGCCAGGATGCCGCGAACCCTATCAAGGATCAAGTTTCGCCGGGTTAGAGTTTTTCAAACTTGTAACGCAAAGTTATACTTTCATCTCTCCTAGCGACTGATATATGACCGCTCTTTCGTATGAGGGAACACAGCTGGTAAGAAAAGTCTGGGTGATGGTTGTCTTTCGATGGCATTCCTGTTTATTAGCGGCGATGTAGCGATCACGCAACTTTCTAGATTGATTTTTTGTATAGATTGATTTTTTGAGGAATTAAAGCACAGACCTGTGACAAAGTGAGTTCTGCATATTCGGGAAAGCTCATTGGCATCCAAAGCCTTTGTAGAGTCTGATGGGTCAACCATCAGCACCGCACGAACCGACGCCGGTCTTCGATCAGGTTCGAATTTCGTCGAAGTACTCAAGAGAAAACTCGTCCCCTCCCCCGGTCAATGCCTATTCCGACATCAGAACGCACAGCGCTTTGTCATCGCCCAAGAACACCGAGGATCACACGACGCGGATTACGTCAAGCAAAATGGCAGCCTTGTTTTCCACCCAGCCTCATCCGACTTGGGAAAAGGCGTGTTGTGTACTCTGAAACTGGCAAGCCGGAAAAGGGGGGATTGGTACGCTCTACCGGTCAAGACGTGAAACAGAGGAACGAGGATAAGAAACACAGGTTGGGGTTGCGAATATGGCACTGCCAATAGACCATTCCATTTAGCGCTCTCTGGGCGGCACCATTTTGTTTGACAGCAGCGCCCTCTCCATACATCCGGGAAATTCAGCGGGTTCGGCGGGGTAAAACGAGAGAGAGGGCACGGGCCCGACTCCGCTAGCAGACGACAAAACGGGAGGTTGCCATTCTCCATCTTTGGGCCGTAGCGGCGGGCTGTACGGAACATCGAACTCTCACTCGTGGCTGCCGTTGTGAAGTGGTTCGCGTTCTTAGAATAGTTGTGGCTACTCCAAAATCAGCCTATAGCTCCCTGTTGTTCTATTTCGGTAAATGATCAACTAGCATATCTATTTTCTGTTACTGAAATAGCAGTTGAGTCAGCCGGCAGTACTACCTTCAACTACTGCGTATGTTACGGCAGGAGAGCAAGTTTTTATTTATTATTTCAGACTTCCACTCATGGTCGCTAAAGGCCTACACCAGCACGAGCTTTGTATAGTAAAAAAGGTGCAGCAACTGGATTTACTTTTCGCCGGAGACCAGCCAATCTGACACAGTTTTCCCTATTTCTTTTTTATTTGCACGCAGGTAACAGCGCAATTGAACCCTGTTAGTCTTGTTTTATCTAGCATAGTGTTACACGATAACTGGCATACCAAAATATGCGCATCTGCGCTTGAAATTTCCAAAATGACGCGATTTTAAACAGAGTTTGTACGCCAGCCGGATGCCAGGTACTGCCCACTCGGGAGAGCAGACGACATCCGGGTTGAGAGGGAGAGGGCATTTTTTTCTCTCCATTACCCTCTCTGCTATGACCCTAATGGAACGGCTTGCACATGACGTCATTTCCGATGCTCTCCAGAAAAGAGGGGAAGGAGGAGCTCGCCTCTTATCAGGATCCTCCTTTGTGCCTCCCGGATTTGAACAGGCGTCGCGATTCTCCTCCCAGAAGATTATAGAAGATTAACGTGTCACTCAAAATTCTTACAAAAGCAGCATCCTTCTCCTCCTTTTACTTGGTGTTCAAAAGTTAGCCATGTGACGTCAGTGCAAGGAGCCTACACGAACTCAACTCTTTATGTCACGCCGCGGTGGTGGCGCATCGGGCGCACTTCCGGTCTGGGGCGGTGGGCAGAAGTCGCCGTGCGAGACATGTATTCCTGTGTTCTTTGGGAGAAACCAGACAAAAAACCTACGCTCTCGTCAAAATGCTGCGACGGGGGCTGTTCCAAGAGAGTCTGGAAAGGTTTGAAGATCAGTTTTCATGTGTTTCTGCCCCCTCTATTCTTCCGAGAACGTGGATAGTAGCCGTGAAAAGAGCAAACCAGACGTTGTCGAACTACGATTGCTTGTGCGGGCCACACTTTGTAGTCGCCAGATGTATTATTTTATTCCAACATGAACGAGAGAAGACCACCAAGCTGTCGGGACTACCCGCGGGTGCAGTACGTCTTCAAATTCACACGGCCGCCTGATCGTTCGAACTTTCGTCTGATCTTTCAAACTTGTCTGGTTTCCGTCGTCTGCTCGTTCAAACAAAAGCGACCTGTAGACCAAACTTTGACCCGGTGATTGCAAAAAGAAGTAATTGCAGGCCTCAAAAGTCTTAAGTAGGCTCGGTGTAAACAGTAGATACAAGATGTTGATCATTGGTAGCAATGGCCATCACCGACATGTCACGCTTGGTCTGTCCCCGCTTCCGATTTTCAGTATCGACGTCGATCATCGCCGCTGCCTTCTGCACTTTTGCAGCACGAGCGACGTCGCGACCAAAAATAGCTAGAAGAATCTCATAATGGTTTTGGCGTCTCTTTTGCGCCGTTCATGCGAATGAATCGGCGCACGTAAAATTATTTACGCAAAGTTTAGCGGCGTAACGAGC